GTAAATATTTTAATATAAATTATGTTAATATATTATATCAATTATTTTTAATTTGTAAAATTTCTTTAGATTTACCATAAGATTTGGGATAATTCAAGAAAGGAATTTTAGGCAGATATTGCCTAAAATATTAATAATAAATGCAATACAAATTTTTTTGACGTTCAATGCCAGAAAAAATTTTTCTCATTAGTTATCAAGTATGACGTAAGTAAAATGATAAAATTGGTAATAAAGCAAAAAAATACATTATATATAAATATATTTTTTTTTTCTTTTTATTTAAAACTTAAAGTTGTTAAGGTCGGGTGACGCTAGGGGAAAAAAGGGCAAATTAGCCCTAGAATATTATGAAATTTTTAATACACGTTTTTGGGATGCTCCAAGTAAATATAAAGAATTTTATATTTATATTTTAATAAATTTTTAATTTTACAATATATTTTTAAAATATTTTATATATATATATTTTAGGAGATGAGCACGATATTGAATCCAAAACAAATAAACAGGTTCATAAGCAAAGAGATTCTAGAAGGGATATGATAATATACTTGTTATTAAAGTTTAATTATATTTTTTTTTTATTTTGCTAATTTTTTTTCTTTTATAGGAAAGAAGCGAAAAACTTCAGAAAAAAAAGATAGTAAATAGATACTTTCTTTAAAAGGGTTGATATTTTGATAAATTTATACTTAGTAATAACTTTATTTTCTTTTTAGCAGAGCAACCAGCTCTAAATTGTAAATACAAATATTTTTTACAGTTTAAATATTTTTGATAAATTTATGCTTTGTAATAACTTTATTTTCTTTTTAGTAGTAGCTGAGCAATCAACTCCAAGTAGTAAATACAAACTTTTTTTTTTTAAAAGTTTTGACATTTTGACAAATTTATGCTTAGTAATAACTTTATTTTCTTTTTTAGCAGCAGTAGTTAAGCCACCAGCTCTAAGTAGTAAATACAAATTTTCTTTAAAAGGGTTGATATTTTAACAAATTTATGATTAGTAATAATTTTATTTTCTTTTTAATGGTAGTAATCAAGCCATCGGCTTCAAGTGATAAATACAAATTTTTTTTAAAAGGGTTAATATTTTGACAAATTTATGCTTAGTAATAACTTTATTTTCTTTTTAATAGTAGTAGTAGAGCCATTGGCTCCAAATGGTAAATACAAACTTTCTTTAAAAGTTTTAACATTTTGACAAATTTATACGTAATAATAACTGTATT